CAGCGAGATGGAATACCCGGGGCGGGCGGCGGCCACGACGACGCAGGAAGGCAAGGCAAGGCAAGGCCAACGGCGTTCCCCTCCACCTCCTTCGGTGTGTCTGGACGCGGTGGCATGAATGACGGCGTTGCCGCCCTGGTCCATGGCCTCATCAGCAGATCCTATGCCGTGCCGCCCTTGGTCTCCCTTCCCGATGCCTGCGTTGATAACCTGCTGGAAGGCCTTGCTTCTTCCTTCACCGGGCCCCCGGGAGGAGGACGGCAGATTCATGACTCCAGAGGGCAACGCGGGAAGACGCATGAGCATTCCCCATTCGTGGTTTTTCTTTTCCTTCCTTTTGCTAGGTGATACTTTACATGACGTCTGCCTCTTCCGTCCCGCGTCCCGTTGAAATTCCTGCCGGTCCAAACCCCCGGAACCCTCTTCCATCGTCTACCCAACCCTCCCCGGGTGACGACGAACACGGAGAGATAATGCGTGGCGTGTTGACGTGTATGTGTATAATGTTGCAAACGTCCCCCTTGTCTGCACGAACAGGACCCCTTCTCTTGCCGCGCCGTGAATCCGGCGAAGATACCGGCGAGGGTAGAATTGCTGCCTTCTTCCTACCCTGCATGTTACCCTTCGCCCGAACTGGCGGTAATTATTTTCAGTGCTTGCGAGCGAGCTTTCTACGGCGTCCGGGTTGGTTCGGTATTGACGGGGGGAAGAGGGCCTAACAAACCGGGCGCCCTGTCGTCGTGTCCTCGGCGTGTGTATGATCTGCACATAGAGTTTGAATCTTGCACTTCTAGAACGGTGTTCTCGGGAATCACGGACGGATAGGAAAAAAAAAACAGGGCAAAATGGTATCGGGGCCACCAAGGGGACCTGACTCTGACTCCGGGCTGGTTTACTGCTGTTGCTGTGTTGAGGTATTAGTCCGAGGATTCTTTTTTAAAGTGTGTGTACGTGTGTAAGTGTGTATGTATTCTTTTTCAGCTGGAGTGAGGCGGACACGACGGACGAGGACCGAGTTTTGCGGCGGAGGTTCCGTGCGGAGGAAGTAGGAAGCAGCATTGAATGAAGCTGTTTTCCTTCTAGTTGGTTGTTGTCGTTGTTGGTGGTGTTGGTCTTTCGCCTCATGAATTGCGAGCAAAGACCAAAAAGTTTATGGTTGGGGATGCCGTGATAGGTCCGGAAGGAAGGGACGAAAGGCAGTTGGTTGAGTTGGAGTTTATTCGGATCTTCCGTGCCTGCGGCTGGTATGTCCGTGTGGACTTGGCGCGTGCAAGCTGGAATTCTGTTTTGTTCATGTTCTTTTTGATTTGCCAGCCCGTATGTGCGTGTGCGTGTGTGTGTAGGTGGACGTTAAAGTGTCTTTACTCTCTTCTTTTTTGTGTTTGACTCGGGCCCTTGGTGATCTGATGTTTGCCTTGGATCTTTCTTGGATCTAACTGGGATCGGATTGTGGGCGAGCGAGCAGGCGCATAGAGCTCGGAGCGGGATTGGGGAGAGCGAGGAGGACTCTCTCGGCTCGGGGTATGTTGCGCTGCTTGCGAAGGGACGGGTATTGGGACTTGTCGGGCCATGGATGAGGCTTGGTCTGTGGTGGGTGTGTTTGACCGCATTGCAGTCCATGATATCGAACGTCGACCTTAGTCAGTTGAGAAAGAGAGACGGGGGAGGATGGCATGTGTTCCCGTTGCCATGGTGGTGTTTGTTTAGTACGGACAGTTTTGCCTTTCCTTACTCGGCCTTGTCGTTTTTCTTTCTCGGCCGGCAAGAGTTGACGTGATGGAGTATTACTGACTAAAGGACGAACTGACTTGTGCTGTTATCTGTCAGTATGCGAGATGACGTTGGGGGTTTGGTTGTTGTTGATGATGTTATGCTGCGGGTTCCCTTCCCGTCCCCGTGTCAGTTGTTGAAGTTGAGCAGCGCTTGACTCGAGGAAAGTGACGATCACGCGGCATATGTTGGAACTCTGGATGGGTCGCTGTTGAGAGATGGACAATGACGATGAACACATTATCATGTGAAGCTTGCGGTTTTGGACGAGATCGTGGGATGAAGCGCACCTCTCTTGATGCAGAGAGTTGCCGTGGCCATTGTCTCTGGGAGGCAGTAAGTTGAAGCGGTTGTCAGTTCGAACTGAACCATTTCGCTGTTCTAGTCTGTAGACTAATTGCTAAACTCTAATACGAATTAAATATTGTTTTCAAATGTGTGTTATGCGCTGTTGCGAAGATCACCCCTTCTCAATCTTGTTGTTTGCAGATCTTATTTAGCCTCACAAGAAATAAATATACCTTTCTTGAAAGTCCCAGAGACATCACAAAGCTCAACTGTGTGAGATCACTTCAACACAAGTCTGTGGAATTCTTCTGTCTCTTGGAACTGGTTTTGTAATACATGGCGGTGTTCTGGGAATTTGATTTGTGCAGTTCGCTGTGTCAACGAAGCCATGTTGCCGGCTTGACACAACATTTACGACAATCCCAGACGTCTCGGCTTCTACTCTCTACCACGTGGATTCATTCAATTTCAGATTGTCTCTGGTGTCATCAGTTATTAACCATCACATGTCTCACTCACGATCATCTGTATCTCTTCCTGTCTCCTCGTAGGACGCCGACCCCTGCGAGCTCACGGATCCAAGATGCCGTACTTCTCAACATGCCGTGCGTACATGTAAATCTCTCTCTGTATTTATGTGTCCATCCCCCACCAGTAGATCTTGGGCGCGAAAAAGGTCGGAATTAGGCTTTCTTATGCCCTGCAGCCTCCCGTCTGCCCTTCCGAGTGGATGACGCCGCTGTATGGAACCTCATGCGTGTTTCCTTCGAGGCAATGCGTGCCTTTGTGTGACTCCATGCCGGGGAACGGGTTCCGGCAGAAGAAGCGGATGGCTTGGGGGTCTAGACTCTTCGAGAGTTGCTTTTTTCTCCCATGGGAGGAAGCCACGGGATGGCTTGGAGAGGGAACTGTGGCTGCCCCCGGAAAGATTCGTTGGTCGAGGAAGCGACGTGCCAAGAGGGAACGTTGTATGTCAGCGGGAGATGGCAGATGCATTGTTGATTCGATGCGGCTTCTAGACAGTGGTGGTTGCCTTGGCGCGGAGTGGCTTCTCGGATGAGGCCCTGGCGAACCGTACCCCTGAAGCCAGAGATATTTGCTTTTTATATTCTACTGACGATGCACAGATGAGATCGGAAACACGTGTATGGTGTGATTCAATGTTAAAGAAACAACTGCCCATCGGAAATTGTTGGTTACCTCTTCTATTATATGAGACTGTCTGTCAATGCGAACGCTTCAGGGCGTGCTGTTTCGGGGTGAGACTCACTTCTCGTCGTGACCAGAGTAAGATGTCTCCTTGCTGCAGCCTGAGTCTATATCTTTGAAGACACTGTGCCTCAAATGACATCACCAGATTTCGCTATCAAGACAAGCCCCCAACGCCCCGGTTTTGGTCGATTTCTGGCTTCCAAGGCCATCAGGGCTGTTTTCGAAGCCTTATACAAGAAACTCGAAGTCAACACTTGCCCCTTCTTACTTTTGTGCAGTGGAGGAGCCTTAGATGGACTAAATACAACACACTAGGCTTCACAGACATTATTCGTTCTTCAACGAGTAGTACATAGTTATCTCTTGCTCTAGGGATGAGAAAACCAACACGCCTTTGCGATGCTAATGACTGCAGCACCGAACTCAAGCTTATGTGAGCTCGCTCACTACCGAAGCGCAATATTTTCTGATGAACCAGTCAGGAATAGGACTTATTGCGCTCCGTACTGTAAGAATGTTACATGTAACGACTAGCTATTTTGGTTGGTATGAATGAGTTGATAATTCTGGATAAACTGCCTTGGAACCTAGATCTATCTTTGGAGTAAAAGAGGTGGAGGGTAAGAGTAATTAGAATGAGGCGAAGAATGAACATCACCGAAGCCATGTTGATGGCAGGTTTCTGGCAACTCAAGTCGCCAAACAAAAGACTCGGTAAATGAACGAGTAGATAACTGAACGAGGGAGCAAGTCGACGAGGGCCAGGCGAAGGGATTACACTTCAATGCTTACCTTTGAAGTAGTATATGTAGTGAAGAAGATCAACAAGTATCTTTTCTCCCGAGCTCGTCACCAGTCCGATAGTTGAGGCTAGGTTCAGGTCACCCTCACCACCAACGATTTATGATCACGTCGAGCCATAATTGTCCAACTCTTTTAGACCAGACCCTCTCGACTCTGATCACGAAGAGTTCCCGTTTGCCCTGACGGACGTTCAAAGTGAAAACGTATGCAATTCCTCCAGTGAGAACCTTCCTACCATAGTCTGGGGATCTTTCATTCTATGCTTGAATCTCACTGTGCCCATTGACGACGAGTGCGGTACCGACATCGACTTCTGCGGTTTGGGCAACTACCAAATCGGCAATTGCAACACCTCAGCATTGCCGCCATAAGATGCCTCAATAGCGATGTTCTCTTTTGATCTAGATATCGCTGGTTTATCTATAATAGTAATTGTCATAGATATAAGTATAATAACGGCTCCATGGGCCTCTAATTCATCTATAGCCTCTCTAGCTTTTACGGGTAGCACGAGAGCCGAGGGAATCTCGGACTACCTCATAGGTCTCTGTTCGTATATGTATGATTTCAACCATTAACCCGCAGTTTTATGTGTTTGTACTGTCGCTGCGGCCGAGTCTGCGGAGATCCCGGCGCCGACCGAGCTCCACAGCTCGGATGACATGCAGTGCCGCCGGGGATCCGGATAATGCGGGGTTCGGGACCAATTTGCATTAAGGAGTGCACTATTAGATGAGCGGTTTTTAGACGGGAAAATCCTAATGACGTCGAATCGCGGTCGACAGATCCGGACCAAGCCATGCCATATCCTTCACAGCTGATCCGTATTCCGTTGTTCTCACGAATAAGTGCAATCTAGCCAACAGCTCTATTATCTTGTATAGCCGTCCTCTCTTCGCGCCCTGCATTGCACTTGCAGTATCACAATGAGTCCCTTGGAATCCGAGCAAGCTGTTACCGTACAGATCCAGACAACCACCGTTCCCAGCTATGCTCAAACTATCATTGGCAAGCGGTCGCCTATCTCCAACGACATTGAAGAGTTTCGCGGTATTCCATACGCCCGTGTGCCGGGAAGATGGGAGCACTCACGCCTGAGAGATTTTCTACCCCGTGACACGTTTGACGCTACAGAGAACGGGTAATCTTGTATCATTCTCAGGCGTCCACATGTACAATATAGACGCAGTATGGATAATTCTAACAAATTCTTAGCCCTCGATGTCCCGCATCCGGCGCACTCGATTCTCGCGCATTTCAATCATACCTGCCATACCCAAACGACCGCCAGGACGAGTTTGAGTGCTTGAACCTTCTTATCATGCGCCCGAGCAAGGAAGCACTGGCAAGATGCGATGAAGACGTAGAGGTGACCAAGCTGCCAGTGCTCATTTGGATTCATGGCGGCGGCTACATAAGTGGCGCAGCAACGAGTCCAGAATTTGGTATGTCTCGTCATGACTGGATCATGAGTTTAATAGCGGATTCCCGTGATGAAACGAGGAAAGTATTAAGCTCACAATATTCAGATCCCGCCCGGCTCATTCTCCGCTCTCTCTCCAAAAAGACCCCGTTCATTGCGGTAGCCATCAATTATCGTTTGGGCATATTTGGATTCGGCGCGTCATCTGACATGATCGCGTCACAAGACAGTGACGCTGCTCTCAAGGGCGTAAACTTTGGTCTTCATGATCAGAGGCTCGCCCTGATCTGGGTTAACCGCAACATTGCCGCATTTGGAGGGAATGAGGCGAAAGTCACGATTATGGGCCAGTCCGCTGGCGCAGGATCATGTCACACTCATCTCCTCGAGGCCGAATTGGGTGTGAGCAAGCCGCTCTTCCGCAAGGCTGGTCTCATATCAGGCGCATGGGGCAGTCTCGATTCCATTTCGCTCAATATGGCGGACAAGCGCTGGGCGGAGCTGTGCCGACTCCGTTCAGTCGAGGACGAAAGCCCCGTCGACCGACTTGAAGCATTGAAGAAAGTCCCTGTGACAGATCTACTACAGAGTGTCTCGGACTTACACTGGTGGTTCTTCGCAATGGTCGTCGACAATTTGACAATCCGAAGAAGCAGCTTGGGATGTGACGTCTCTGTCCACCTTGGACATGACGAGGCAAACGGCCCAGCCAAGGCCGAAAAAATACAAGTCATGGTAAGCGCGACGGCTCGCGAGTTTGAGGGTTTTGCCCGTATGGCCAACTGGAACTACGCCAAATTCCGCGCCGTTTTTTCATCCAGCTATCCCTCGGATGCTGCAGCTGAAAACGTTCTTCGAGCATACGGCATTCTCCCCACATCTTCCCATAAGGAGCTCTTTGACGGGTTCGTTCAGTTCATTTCCGATGCCACGATGGCGTATAAAATCCACCGTGCCGCCGAATTCTTCAAGACCTATCGGAAGAAGCAGGCAGTCCTGCGTGGGCAGGACCCGAGGCGCGTGGGTGTGCAGACGTACAACATCGAGTTCGGCAACCCTTTCCCGGGTCCCTTGCAAGGCGTCGCGCACCACGGTGTTTGTATGATCTATACTTTCGGTAATTTCCACGACGCGTTAGAGAAGGTTGACCAAGGGACTCCGGAAGGCTATGTCGAACCTGGCCAAGAGCCTTCAGAAACTACCCGTCCTGAATCCTCACAGCGTGCAGAGGTGGCTGACGAGAGAATTACCGAGGTAACGGACCACATCAAGTCCAACATCGACTTGAGTTATGACATGCAGGACATGTACATCCAGTTTATTGTCGAGGACTATCAAGAGACCGATAAGCGTACGGATCCTGATCAGATTACGACATATTGTCAGGACCGATCAGTATGTATAGAGAGTTGGGTTGGCAGTGAGAAATGGAGATTGAGAAGGGAGAGGTATGATGCCTTAGAAGAGGATTTGGACTCAATGCTTGTCGCTACGCGGAGACTTGTGGGAAGCGTCCTGGACATGCCCTTAGAGTGAATTCCGTCAATCTATGATGACTCCACCCAACAGATCATCTTCTGAGCTCAGCAGATAATGCTCTAGAAAATCTTAGCATATATTTTCAGCTGCATTATGCTCCTTGCAATGCCCTACCCAGACCTCTTTCAGATCCTTGCCAGCAACGTCACAAAAGTATCTGTGTGGCTCAGATATCCGCGATCAGTTTAAGGCATGAACATAGTTCAAATTATTGTGAGAAGTAAAACCACAGACCCCCCTCGCAATCTTGAAGCTTCATAATTTGCTTCAATAGCATGGACAAGCTACATCCTCATATGTCAAGGTGACCGGAAGGTACTGAAAGACCGCGGTGTCGGGCCTCCTATGCCAGGAAGGAGTAAACCTCGAACTTTCGTCATACGATCCACCTCCATTCAAAAGGAACGTGGGAACCCGAATTGACATCTGGAATCTCTGCACGCCAATATCATCAATGATCGAACAGGAGAATCCGTTGGAACACGGATCAGAGTCCTTGGCGCATTTGGCGTATTGACGCTGAGGCCAGACGCCTTGGTTCGACCACAAAAACAACACCTCGCCCCAATCGTTGGCGTTGGCATTAGTACCTGGTGTGCCGAGAATGTACGCTTGGGGCCCAGGGTACACGGTGGAAACAAGATGTCCTTGTGTAGTTAGATAGAATATTTCGTTGGTGCCATACTGGGAGTCGGGCTCTAGCCACCCGCTGTTCTGCCATGTCGGTGCCCAGCGGATGTACCTACCCTCCGTCCAAGGATGGCCATGAATCTTGAGTTTGAAGCACTTGTTCGCGGTGGATGGCGGACAGGCAGTTTCCGTGGCAACAGTTGCGGCCGTAGCTGTCGCAATGCCGAGGTAGCGTCTGAAGGTGGACGTAAACGTGACAGTCACGAACGGGGCTTGCTGGTTTCGTGTAACAGTGCCAGTTACGGTGACCGTTCCGGCCGTTGCAGTCGTCGTGGCTGTGACGGTGAGAGTCGTTGTACCAGTGGCAATTTGCTTGCATGCGAAGGAGATCTTAGTTGCGTCCCAGGTTCTCACCAAGGCAGGCGTGGGAACAGCGCGTTTGTCTATGCCGTCCGCTGTTGTCGTGGGTGTATCCTCTGAATCTCGCTTGTAGTTCAAGTACAAGAAGTTCACGGCTTTTGAGGTATCCGTGACGGTCGTCGTTTGTGCAGCGAACGTCCGTGTGAAGTAACTGTCGAGACTTACGCTCTTATACTCGGTGACCGTCGCGGTGGTGAAGACAGTGGTGGTCACAAACGTCGTGGTGGTGGTGGGGACGGTGGATGTCTGAGTAGTGTAGGTGAAAGTCGAGGGTGGTCTATAATTGATGTACTCCGTGCAGAAGGCCTGGCCAACCAGCCTCAGTGAAGCTAGCTCATCGGGCGAGGGGGTGATTCCTGGCACAAGCAAGCATTGCTTAGCGCTGCCCGCCGTTCCGTCAAACAGCACTGCGCTTCTTCCAGTGCCGAAGCCAATAGTGTTGGCGCTGTACACGTAATTGTTGACGGCTAGTTGGTTTGCCGGGCAGTTTGATGTGGTGGTGAAAGAGTATGTGGACTCAATACCAGCTACAGTCTGATCTGTGACGAACGGTTTGAGCTTGATCATGTCATAAATATCGATCTCCATTTTGATGACCCATCGTATGAACGGCTTCAGCTTGACCGCAGAACCCTGCCGGAACGAGGGAAAGGTGAACTCGACAGTCGGCTTCCAGTTCCTCTGCGTTGTCACCCTGCTCTGGAGAATATTTACGGTGGCGGCGGCATTAGCCCAAGTGAAGCGAGCTCCGCCTGTGATGTCGACGCTTGAGTCCGTGGAGTACTCGATGCCGATGCTGTAGAGGACGGCAGGGTTGATCCGGAATGCACCATCCATCTTGATAGGGCCAAGGTCCACTGGTTTATAGTTGTAATTCCATATGCCGTTCCACGGCCCGTCTGACTGAAGCCGAACAACCGCATTCGCAACACCGGATATCCCGGGCGTAACGTCAGCTTGCTGAATTTGGACTACGCCGTTGGTGATGACTACAATGATCTTGCCGATGAATGAGATGGAAGATATTGAGAAGCCACAATTGACACAGGACAAGACTTTGTTGCCTCCACCGTATGTCACAGCCTGTGAGATTGTTGGGTAGGTGATCAACCATGAGTAATTGAAGTCGTATGTCATCGTTTTGGTGACGATGTACGTGACGGTTTGGCAGCCTCCAAAAAGACACTTGATCGCGTCGCGGGCATCGTAGATTGACTTCCCGGCGCACACCAAACCAAGAAGGTCGCCCCCAGGAATGAGACCAACCAGCTCTCCCACAGTGTCGTCGCAGGCGATGTCCCAACCATCAACCGCGCGTGCTTCCAGTCTTTTGTTCAGCCAGTCAGCCAAACGGTGAGCACGCAATGCAGGTGTGTCCTGAGGATCATCACGTTGGTCCAGTCCCAGTAGCATTCGCCGGACGATTGTTGCGTTGGAGTTGGGCGGACAAACGTTTGCAGCAATTTGGTTCAGACCTTCAGTCGCCTTGGACGCCAGGTCTGCGGGTTTGCTAAGTCCGGCTTCTGTGAAGCCGTCTTCGGCTGCTTGCTGCCCAGCCAAATCATCTGGATTGTAGGGCGCGGCTGGAATATCGCTACCCTTCAGAGCCGGGACATGATAAGCTATGTTGTTGTTCTCGACTTGGATGCTATTGAGGAAGTAGTCATATAGCTCCCTCGCAGCCGGCGTCAGGTCTTCCAGTCTTTCTGGAGGAGGTCGGTAACCAGTTGGACTCGCAGTGGCCGAGGTCGATGAAGTTGCAGACGACTCAGTCGATGAAACCAAAGACGAAGTTTCAGTCAGCGAGGCTGAGAGCGAAGATTCACTCGGTGAGATTGATGATGACTGTCCAGATGATGTATCAGAAACCGATGATGTAGTCAGTAAATCCAATGGCGCCGAAATAGTTGGCGAGGGGGACAACGAAGGTCCAGGAGACGAGGGTGAGGAAGGTGATGGTTCCACAGGAGAAATAGAAAATTGGCCAGTTGAAGACACGGAGGAAGATTGGCCAGCTGGGACCGAGGATACCAACGGGCCCGAAGGTTCAGGGGTTGCCGAAACAACACATGACGAATCGGGCACAGGAAGTGGAAATGACACTGAAGAAACACCAGCGGCCGTCGAGGTGAAGCTCTTTCCACTGATCCCTTCCCTCTTGCCATAGAGAAGCGTGATCCTGTTCGCAACCTCAACCATCTTTCGCTCCCTAGCGAGAACTGTGAGAGATGTGGATGTTGCAGGCGAGTTCTTTGTCGAATCAAACTCCCAAAACCCTCGCGCTGTATCGAGGCTGCAGCCAGTATTGCTTTGGGTGATTAGAACCAAGCCGGGTGACTGGCTCAAGATCAAAGCAAATCTGGAGGCGTCGTCGGGGGTGAGGAAGTTCAGCGTAAGTTCCGAGGGCTCTGAGGTCGTGCTATTTAGACAGACGACGGAAGTGACGCGGTTTGAGTTTTCAAGCAAAACCCCTGCAGAGTTCAAAGACAGCTCGATCTGCATCACACGATCCCCAGGAACCTCGACATAGTTGAGAAAGACGGTGTTGGCGGCGTTAAGTCTGTCCGCCGATGTCCTATCAATGTCAATGTCTTGCGAAGGTACGAACAAAGTCGATGCTTGCGGGGCGCACGGCGCGTCGAAGCTCGGAGTGGCTGATGAGGTTGGCGATCCCGAACTGCTTTCGGGAGTGGAAAATGGAGCCGTGCCTGTCTGACTGCCGCCAGATGGGATGGCAGGCTGTGACAGAGATGTTGTGGGAAGACTTGAAATAGGCGTGACCAACTGGCTGGAGGAAGGGCCAATGACTAGTTGAGTTGAAGAGCTGCCACGGATGCTGGGGACGACCGCGGAGACAATCTGTTTGTTCTGGCATTGCTCGGCTGTTGTTGCGATTTAGTCTCATGTAGCATAGAAAGAGTTCTTGGTGCAGCTTACCCCCATAGACCACGATAACGGCCGGCTCACAGTTGGGTGGAGAAGATGCAAAATTGAGCAAAACCTCTCTGGTATTGCTATCTTGACAAAACGTTGCTTGTCCACCAGGAAGAGACGCGTTGACGAACTCAAGGACCCCGTTCATGCGTGTGAAACGGGTTGTGATGGCGCCCGGGGGTGGTGAACCGCCCCTGAGGAGCGGCTTCAAAGTCTCGCCAGGAGAATAATGAACAGGAACGCCTTGAATGAGAAGTTCTCCAGACAGTAGAACAAACGGAGTGGCAAGGTCGCACGTGTCCGGCTTCTCGCTGGTCTCGGTGCTAAGAAAGCCAGCGGTGTCTCTCTTCTTTTGGGCGCCACTGGATGGGAGGACAAGGAAGATAACTGGCCCTTCACCTGGAGCAAATGTGGGCGAAGCTGACGCTGAGGAGGATGGTGAAGAGGATCCTGAGAGACCCGAAAACGTCGATCCCGAGCTAAGAGATGATGGTGAAGTGCCAGTGATCGTTGGTGATATGAGTATGCTACCTGCAGAAGTGAAAGGGCCGGTGGAAGCTTGTGCGGGAAATTCAGAGCCGGGAACCGACGTGGGTGAACGAGATTCGGAGGGTATGAGCGAGTTGATAAGACTGGAAGCAAGAGGATCGGAGGGCATTGGCATAGGCGCCGTTGATGTGGGAATTCTCGAGGGAGAAGTACTGAAGCCCACAGTACTAGTGAGAGACGGAGATGTGGTGTTCAAAAATGTGAAGCTGAGACCGGAAAGACTGCGCGTGGACAATGAGGAGGACACCGCCGGAGGGTTCGCTGTAGGGTTCGTTGTAGGATTTCCGATCGAAGACAGTGCGAGAGAACTCTCTGATGCCGGCGTGGAAACCCCCGCCGTTGACCCTACTGCGGTTCTAGTTGGCGACCCTGCCGCTGATGCCGCTAATGATCCTGCCGGCACCCCGGCCGACGTCCCCGCCGACGTCCCGGCCGATGTCCCCACCAGTGAAGACGGAGACACGCCGCCGTTCGAGGTTGGAGCTGGATCAGCGGTTCCAGTGGGGAAAAGTACTGGATTGACCGTTAAGTAGAAGCGCACTGGCGCATCGCTAGCTTGCCGTCGGACTGGTGGGCTAGCGCCATTGGCGCCAATGGCCACAAGCAAAGCGAAGGCGAGGACCTCTCGCCTCATGTTGGTGCTCAGAGCAGATGTTCGAAGGGACCGTTAGTGTCGAAAGCTTAACGTGATGAGCACACGAGTAGATCTATGAATCGATGGTCAGAGTCCACCCAAATATTAGTGTTGTGGGTAGTTAGTCGAGTCTCAGTCAAAGTCCTTCAGCTCTTGGCGTAAGCAAGTAGAGGAATGTACAGAAGATTTCCGACAGCAGCCAAGCGGAGGTGGCTTGCAAGGGAGAGCAACCGCGAATTTTGGCTGTGAAAGGAGAAGGATGGTTCACTCAGGGGTAGTGACGAGGCTTGTTCTGGCATCCAGATTCTTTCCTTGAATGTTTATCTTGACACATCAACGTCAATTTGATCACAATCGCCACAAACCTCACCTCTCCAGCGCCATCGACATGCCGGCCTTGCTGCCGCAAGGGATTGTGGTCGGTCGGGCCGAGGGTTTTCTCATTTTCTTTCTTGGAATTTACTTTGTTCCACACATGTTGACCCATTTCATTCCTACTGCTAGCTAGCTGGCAGGTGAAGCATGCATCAATATTATTATTGCTACTAATAAAATAAGCTTAGAGCTCTGAAGACGTTATGCTTAGAACGAAATGACTAGGTTTAGTCAAGTTGTCGCGCTTGGTCTGGCTTGCTATCATGAAGAGCCCTTGACGCCCCGTTTCTGGTTGATTTCTGAGGGCTTCCAAGGTCAGTCATCAGGGCTGTCTTCGAAGCCTTATAGAAGGAACCCAAAGCCAACACTTTCCCCTTCTGACTTCTGTGTACTGGAGAAGCCTGAAGATGGACCAAACACAGGAGCAATGGACTTCAATAAAAAACCTAAGCATATGAAGGCAATACATGTACTGTCTCCGGGCGGATACTTTAGCACGCAGTATTAGTGGAGCTTGCTCTCATTGCACCCACCAAACCTCCAACGTCTAATTCATAAGCCTGCTTGCTTCAAAACATAGTTAAGATGTCAATAAGCGCCTCTGTTCAGCCTCTTAGTCACTCCCTTCATGATTGCTAGCAGTCGCAAAAGGGAAGGAAAGCAAAAAACACATACAACACCGGGCATTCGCCGGTCGTCACCGACCCGACTACTACTCCAGCCCTCATTGGCTTATCTATGGGAGAGCGGACGGGATCCCGAGTTTTCCAATGGGTATGGTCGTATGTGCTGGTTTGAGGACGTCAAGTTGACTATGAAGGCAGGGGGTGAGGCTGTCGTGGAGGCGGCTACAACCAGCAACGACTCGCCTCAATCTCCACAACCCTGCCTATGAACATCCTTTGAACAAAAATAAGGTAGACTCGATCATGTCGTCTTCCTAAGGCCCGCAATATGCTAGTTGTTAATGCTGTAAGCATGCGCTGGCTTTGAGATAGTTGATGCTTGACACTACCTATAAGCCAGCTGTGTTAGTGAATGGTCTCGATACTTTATGACTTTGTGGGAGCCTGAAGTACATGAAACTCGAAATCTCTTGAGGAAAAGCTTATCATTATGAATTGAATAATAGATTAATGAGGAACACAGTAATAAGTAGGATTTGCTGTTTAGATATTAGAAATATATATATATAGAGAGAGAGAGGATGAAGGGACATCGTCTTTGTAGCTTCTCGTCACCTTCCTAAAGAGGCAATCAATATCTGATTGGCTCGGGCTGGAGGCGGGTCCTACTATGCTAGTCCTAGAGTAGAAAGCAATATCTGATTGGCCATAAAGAGAACCCCACATGGCCGAGATCAGATCTGGGCCCTTTGAGTGGCTTCTAACTTATTCTCACCATCAGACTGATCAAAATGATTCCACGCGCGTTGGATCGGTTATGGCTCCCAGTCCGTGCCGTAGCCTCAACACTCCCTTCGTCCCTGGCAGACCTCGTACAATGCTGCCTGTTTGGAATATAAGAAGGACGAATGCCGCGTCGTGAAAACGCCGGCATTGTGTCTCCTGGCATACCCAAAACCTCATATTTCGCCCTTCTTGAACTCATCTCAAAGTCTACTTTCTCTGCTTTCCCTGAATTCTTCACAACAAACTACAGTATCTTGTAGTACCAGCAAAGATGGTGATGCTACGGCTGACTGCAGAGCAGTACAGGAAGCTCCCCATCCTGGTGGACAAGTCGACTTGCGTGGGAAAGACCTACGTCATCACCGGAGGCAACTCCGGCCTGGGCCTGGAAACTGCGCGGCACCTCGTGGCTGCATCCGCCGCGACAGTTGTCCTGGCCGTGAGGAATCTCAACGCCGGAGAAGTGGCTAAGGCAGACATTGAGAAGTCGACGGGACGTAAGGGCGTCATACAGGTAACGTTGATCTGGCCCGAACACCGGCAGCCGAGAATGAAAGACTGACATCGGAACCCTCGTCACAAAGGTGCGGCATCTGGATCTATCAACCTATGCCGCCGTCCAAGTCTTCGCCAAGCAGGTCTCTCAGGAGCTGGACAGGATCGACGGCTTCGTCTGCAACGCCGGCGTCATGATCGACCAGTGGGCAACTTTCGAAGGCGTTGAGAGCAGCATGTTTGTCAACGTCGTCAACACATTGTTCCTTGGAGTCTTGATGATGCCCAAGCTGAGCGAGAGCGCGCGCAAGTTCGGCATTCAGCCTACGCTCCTCTTCATCGTCAGCGTGCTGGGATACACCGTCAAGGCGGAGATGGACAAGAGCCGCAACGGGAGCGTCTTTGATGGGCTCAACGACCCGAAGCGCGCAAACATGGACTCGAGGTTCGTCGAAGAAGCAGAAGAGAACAAGCGTCTTGCGACGGGACTAATGCATACCAGGTACGCTCTCACGAAGCTCGTCGAGGAATGTGCCGTCCGTCAGTTTGCGGCCCAGTTTCCCGTAGACCGTACCGGCGTGGTCATCACCATGGTCGCCCCTGGTCTCTGTACCACCGGCTTGGGACGCGATGCGAGGACATTCACCAAGATTATGCATGAAACAGTCCGGGCCATGATGGCCCGCACAGCGGAGGTGGGCAGTCGCACTATCCTGCACGGCCTGATGGTTGGCGAGGATGGTCACGGAAAACTTCTGTCGGGCTGTAAGATCAAGGAGTTTTGGGTGCCGGACTGGTTTTGCAACGATGAGGGCCAGCGCTTGCAGAAGGCGATATGGAACGAGCTCGTTGCCAAGCTGGAACAGGTACAGCCTGGTTGCATTTCTCAGATTTAGTAGATGGGGTATTGTCCTTGAGGAGGCTAAGTTGTAGGAAATATGAGATACCCTTGTTAATCCACTGTTCAAGTGATGTTCAAGCGAATGCAGCTTCTTTTAATAGACACTTCATGTCAATCCATAACCTCGAATGCTGATGCTGATTTATGGATGTCGATTGCTGTCCGATAAGACCAGTCAGCACTGTATGGGATATAGCAGCCGGCAATCATGTATCTCGAAACATGTCAAATCAGACCAACTTTTCAAAGGCAGATGTCATTAATATCTAAGAAGTCTGGCACCAGAAACACCCATTCTAGACTAGCGTGGTCTGAAGATACGTATCCCATGCGGTTGGAGAGAGGCACAGCAACAGCTGAGCTCAAAGAGAGGATACCCCGCTGACCGTAATCTTCCGTACCGACATCGACCAGACCCTTTGAGCGACCACAATGAGCCATGCACTGGTGTTCATCGAACAGAATGCGGCCGGGATAGGCAAATCCGACCGCCGCACCCTTCGTTCTTATGTCATGAGGGGCAAGAATGCCGGCAGACCACGACCTTCGACGCGAAGACAGGCGAGCGGTGTCCCCGTTAAGCGTCAGCTGAAGATACCGCGACGTGTTTTCTGGAATGACTTCTGTCTGACATCGTTCCCGCAAAAACTCGATTCTGACTCAACTAGGCTCATGCATCGGTGTACGGCTCATCCAACCCATCTACAACCACCCTGACCTCTATCCTGAAGCTTCTCTGATTTGTTCTCCCCAGGGTTTCTTGACATCAGTGACACGCTGTTTCCTCCCCAATTTTGCTACAAGTTTGACATCTTGAAGTCTATCTGGGTCAACTGCATACTGGTAGATGAGGCATGTAAGTGAATGCAATTCACGCAGGCGGATTGCTCATTTAACTGACCGCTGCCAAAGACTTCCACTCGACCTTGGCCGTGTCGGCATCGTACGTCGACTTCTTTGAACGAAAGCCTACCACGTCGTCAAAGACTTTACATCACATATGCCAGGCCTATTCGTTGGTCAACCTCAAACTTTCCGGCCCCCATGCCATATCGGACAGCGCGATTGCTGCCGTCGTCACCCTCGCCATCTACCAACAAATACACCAGCAACACACCACCGGCCTCGTACACCTCAAAGGACTTCATCAGATGATTGGGTTGCGCGGGGGTATCGCCAGATTGATGAAGGAGAACCGTCCACTGGCCCTCAAGCCACTCAGGTATGCAGCCTCTTCCCAGTCTGACATTCAATCCCCGAAGCAAAGAATACTGACCAACAGCAGGCTCGATGTTGAATTGGCCATGCATAACGGGTCACCCACGATGTTTAATAGTCACGAAGTGCCCGTTACAACTGTCTTGTGCCCCTCCAGCACCGTCGCGGCACAGCTTTCCGCCTGTCCCCCCGGGCTGCCCCGCATCATGCTAGATCTCATCGTTTTCGCTAGTATCCTCAACAACAGGGTGAAGAGCGGACGATCCAAGCTCGACCCTCTAGACTACACAGAAACGCTCATATCACTCCTTTACCGTCTCTTGGAAGGCGAACCTCTCAGACAGCCCCTGCTTGCTTCAGAAGGCCTCCACGGCGACGCAGCACATCTCGCGATGCTGGCGTTCATGACCGGCCTGCTTCCCAACTATTGCCGCGAAAACTTCGGTTCGTCACTTCTATGTACTCGTTTAGGATACGCCGTTCGAAAGCTCCACTCGAAGCACGTAGACGCGCAGACCGGCGATGTCTCCTTGCCGCTGTGGATCCTTTTCATGAGCGGCATCTCGGTCCTGAAAGCCAATGATCACAGCTGGCTGCTTCTTGCAATCGCGAAGACTTGCGATCGCGCAAACCTGCGTGACTGGGCAGCCGTCCACCATCATCTCAGCGCGTTTCCGTGGATATATACACTGCATGATGCGCCCGCGCGGTGTTTATGGGAGGGAGCTTATCGTGTAGGCGATGAATTAGTGTCCGGCCTGTAAGAAAAGATGCGAAGGAAGTAAACTGCTCACAATCAAGTAGTGGTCAAAAAGAAGGGTTTCGTATTTTAGCTACCTTAAGTAGAGTAGCCTGCTGCGTCGATCACGACTGCGAGGTGGTACCACAAAGCCCTCGGTTGACGTTCAACTAGCCTTGAATCTTCGTCGATAATCTCAAAACTCAGACGCACTTTCCAAGTTACGAGCGAGCCAGGCAGGATAGATAATTAGATTTCCTTTGTGGCGATATAATGGACTCAACACCCATACTCCAGGTCACGCACGCTTGAGTCGGTAAGAGGGCACAACAGCAGCGGACGCTCTAAGCGATATCTTGGGCGCTGTCTTCGCATATCTAGCCAACAATGACCCCTTCCCGGAGCAAGATAATATCTGATGGGAAGTTTAAGCAGGCTCAAACCAAGTTGCCCAACCTGGGCTCTCGACGCAGGTATCCTCAGTTGTTGAACAAACGATCTCATACTTTGCGCCGTTGAGCGACCCACGGATTCTGGTCGTTACGGAGGACGACAGTTAACCGGCTGGGCATTGAAAAGCCGATGACTTCGCCTTTCCTAGTTGGAGCCGGTACGACGTAAGAGAATCCCTCCCTAGTTATGGTAAGCTTTGAGTGCCATGTTCTTGTTGTTTGCCTCCAAAAGGTGCAAGGAGACGGGATGAAGGGGAAGGTTGGCCCGGCCTGGCGGAGGTCTAATCCCACTGAACAACCAATTGTACGCTAGATGGTCGCCCGTTACAGCATGTGGGTCGGCGCCACACCCGTTCGCTCAGGACATGCTTTAACACCGAAGAACACACCACATGTCTGACGTCTCTAACTGCTTAGCTCTATTTACTTACATTAGAAAGGAACAGATAATATTCAAAAGCAGAGGCTCGCGCACGCTGCCATTTTACATAGCTTTCAGATCACCCGGGCATGGAGTTTGGTCAAGTGAGATGGAGGACGACACAGACTACAGTGATGAACGACGACATAGAACAAAGATTTATTACTTGTACTCGTAAAGAACGTCTAGGGGCCGCCAACCGTGAATGGCAGCTTCCAATTCCTCGTCCGTGGGCAGGCTAGGCAGCGCGTCCGTGACCACATTGGGGTCGTCTGTGTTCTGAGGTCCATCTGAGTCCAGATTGAACGGATCGCCGTATCCCGAGAGATCGGGACTGCCGGCATATGGCGGTCGTCTGTCTTATTCCTGTCGCCTGAGCAGTTTGCCCATTTCGTCGACGAGAGACTTCAATTGGTCCATGTTCTGCCTCAGTGCGACATTAGTGGCATCTTTTTCGTCGATGAGAGACTTCAATTGGTCAATCTCCTGCCTCAGTGTGGCAGTAGTAGCATCTTTTTCGTTGTCCAGAGCTCCTGTTGTGGCATCTTGCGGGTCCACGCCTTCGTCTTGTTCCTGACCCAAGCGCTTGACGCGGTTTTCCCTCTTCGCGTTGTAGCGTCGGAGAGCGAGTAGAGATCGGCTCATGTATCTTTTGAGATCCGCCTTAGGAGGATTGTTGTCCGGAGCGGCGCCAAGCACGTAGCGGACCGTGACGTCCGCAGGGAGGAAGTAGGGAGCTCCCATGTAATTGATCTGGTCGAGGGCGTACCTGACGTAGTTGAAAATTCTGATTGAGACGGAGTAAGGTTTGTCGTCTGTATTTGTGGCATTTTTCTTGCCAGGCAGCTTCTCGGCCACCGGCACGGTCTCCTCGAGAGACTGGAGGAACGCCGAGTACACGGTGTTTTCGATTGAGCGGGCTTCGAGTCGTTTTCGGACCTCTTCGTGATGTTCCTCGAGAGGCTTGTTATGGCCCTTCCATTCGGCAAGAACCTGCCTGAATACGGTGAAGAAAGGGTGTATGCTTGATGGCCGAGCGAACCTCCAGGCGCGTCGGTCCTCCTTGTTCAATATGCAAGTGTACTGTATGCCCATGATGAGGAGATTGATGTCCCCGTTCCATAGAGGATGCACGAGAATTCTCTTGAGGCTGTCGGCGAATCCCGATGCCCATCGCGCCGGTGGGGTGCCCCTTCCGGTATTGCCCTCGTAGACCAGGCTGTACTTTTCCGAGATGAGTTCAAATGGCGACATGTGATAGAATCTGAGGCACATTCGGAAGACCGTGTCGGTCGCTTTGTCTTTGTAGTCTAGGAGGGCGTCTCGAAGCGGCTCCTCTTCCCAATCTTTGACGAGCTTCGCTTCGTCGTCTCGTGACCAATCTTGGTCGTAGTCAGTGTCGGGCAGTGTCTCTGGGAGCAATCTGTCGATATCTTCCAACGTCAGTCGTGGCGCCTGGGTAGCGACAGTCTCGGAGCACTTCTGTGGTACTCTGTCGAACATTTCTGTTTCGAAGGCGATCCAGGAAGGTTGCTTGGTGCCTCTGCACTCTTGCCCTGAGGCCCTGGACCCTCGGTTCTCATCATCGCTGGCTTCGCTGCCGTTGTCGTCGTTCTTGCGTGATTTTTTGGGTGCACGACCACCCGCTTCGGGGGCCGATTGTTTGCGAGATCCTGCCATCTTGCGTGATGGCCGGGTTGGAGAGGTGTGGTGTAGAAGAGAAAGAGCTGGGGAGTGTGTGGTGGGAGGGGGACTTGGCATTGAGGCAGGAGGCAATGGAGGCAGGAGGTAATGGAGGCAGGAGGCAATGGAGGCAATGGAGGCAGGAGGCACCGACGAAGGGGGATCACATAGGTGGCAGCGCGGGCGATGGATACGACAGATCTAAGGGCACTGAATGAGATTAATGCTATGTAAAATGCCAGCGTGTGCGAATATCTGCCTTTGCAATTTATCTCATCCTCTTCAGTGACAGGAAGTAGTGTTCCCTTAATGACAAGAAGCAGAGCTGAGCTCTTGGAGACTTCAGACGTGTGGGCGCGGACAATTACGATATTCTCAAGCCGACGCGTCGCGTCTGTGATGGGTATGTTCAAAGCCCATTCATACAAGGCTGATTTGCTTCATGAAGGGGTCCAGACTGGCAGCTTTACGATGAAAAAAAACTGAAGCCTCCTTTAGAGTGAAAGGTTGCACAGCTAGCAGAACCCAACGACCTGTTCCAGGTACACAGATCTGCTAAAAGCACTAAGTACAGTAAAAAAGTGTATGCAGAGGGAGGGTGTGAGTCTGCCGTGTCCAGTTTGCAGGGACTTGCCAATTCCCATATAAAAATGCGTGGAGGGGGGGAGCAACAGGTTCTACATACAAGTTTGTATGGCACCTGTCAAGTGCCGGTTTAATCCTGCATGAAAAAATCAGCAACTCTCCCCCACATGGATTTTCTAGGTACTTCCCAAGTCTCATACTCAACTTAAAGTATCTTCCTACAGTAAGAGATCCATATGAATTTCGCAGCCACTTCATTAATACTATAATGGCGACACTGCAACCCCGTTCACAGATTTTTCTAAACTTAGCCAGACCACTTAAATATTCAGGGTTCCCCGCTGAGCCTTTCGCACTACATCCAGCGAGACACCCGACTTCAGGTCTAAAACTAGCACGTTTCGTGGGCCACGTAACCGCATATCTCTTGTCGCCAAAGCGATGAAAGTTGGTGATGAGGAACTGCTTGAGAGCAGCTGCCGCATCCTCTGGCTCGTTGTCTGAGGCGGACCAGCCGACATCGTCGTGTTGGGCATTGGAACTGCATCAATCATGCCCTGTCGTCCTGTAGATAGACGGTCTCTGCGGATGAATGTTATGGCAGACAACGGAGACAAAGGACGACGGAGACAAAGAACGACGGCGGAAGAATTCGTCGTAGTCCCGTTCCGCGCGACGGGATTGCGAATTGATCTTGTCGTCGTCCTTTGGTGCCTCGTCACCGACTTTGCAAGAAATATGCGGTTACGTGGCCCACGAAATGTGGTAGTCTTATGCCCGAAGTCGGGTCGTCCTTGGGTGCCGCATAGCTTGTGTCGGCGCTGGCGGTATTCCCTCGGCTCTCGTACCACCTGTACAGACTGGAAAGGCTGAGGATGATGTGGAAGCTCCCGCAGTCGTCATCATGCTTGAATCTATTGCACTCGTCGGCGTCATACATATTCTGCAAGTCCCTGACACATGAGAAAGACCGACATTGAGGGGCCTTGTGGCGGCAGCGCTGAGGTGATGCGGTTACCGATTTGACACTTGTCCAATCCGTAGAAGCCAGAGCCGGTGCCGCACTCGCCGTCCATATCGAAACAGTCTCCGAGTTGCAGCAAGGAAAGTCGGAGTAGGCAGAGGAGGGATTCCCGAACTGGGGACAGCAACGGCCGTTCTTATTTCGCCGCGACTCTATCCCTAACAAGAACAATCCCATTAGCAACCTCATACAGAGAGGTATAACCATGCCTCGTACACCGTGGTGAGCCTAGTCTTCGACCCAGCGGTGCAGTGAAGAAAGTTTTACTGACATACCCCAGGTATTAAGCTAACAGAGACGCCGAACAAGACCACGCATATCAATATATACGTGTGATGCAACTGTCTAATAAGTCTCGCTCTCATCTGCATCAATCAGGCTGCCTGTCGTTTTGATCGTCATACTGTTCATCAATTCGCCCAAGATGCTCATTTTGATTGCGAGTATCCCCGGCCTTGTAGCATGTGCGCGCTCCGCCCCGGCACGGGTTCACAGCGCAGAGGTCTTTCTCGTGATCTGAGTAAGATTCCGTTGGATTTGCGGCAGGGCCTGAAAGGGATTGAGGTCCTCCACGACATTCGCGACCAGCAGGCGATCGAGCGTGCCGTCTCCGGTGTGGACGCCGTCGTGAGCGCCGTCGCCGCTGTCCTCGGCATGATCACTGAAACGCAGTTGCTGCTCTTGAGAGCTGCAGAGACTGCGGCTGTAAAGGTTAGTGTTCTGCTTGCAAGATGATCGAGGATCAACATACTGAAAAGACGACTACAGATTTCCCATGCCAGCCGTTGGATGTAGCCCGCTTCCCAGGTGTCAAGCAGACAAGCCTGGGGGACTCTGTTAG